AAGGCCCTTAGATATGGGTGGATATGAAGATCAACACATCATCTGGGCTTATTCCAGTATGTTGGAAATTTTTGAGCTAAAGCCTTAAAAAGTGGGAAAGAGGCCCCATTTAAAAATGTGATTTCTTGGAAAAGCAGCCATAAATATCAGCAGCAGCCTGGAGGAAAAGAACTATATCAACGGTCCCAAATCATGAGAATGGGGGAAACCGTCTTGTTACAGAAAACAGGTCTCTATTTCCTAATGAACAACATTTGACAGTTTAAAGAACTGACAATAAAACACATGATTAAATGAGTGCCAGAAAGTGGCCTCGACCATAAAACCATACATTTAGTGGTCATTCTAGTTAATCCGTGGCAGTATTTATTGAGTTATAACATTGGAAGAGATGAATAAACATGGTTGAGACCAAGTGGGCTCAGGGGATTTTGTTTTTAAGGTAAGCTTTACCATATTTCGTCAAAAATCTTCACATGCTATAATTTTAAAGTATACTTTTGAGTTCAAAGTTAAACAATGTCTGAGGAAGATATGGAAGATTTAGCACTTGAGGTGGGCAAATAAAAACTATGTACCTATTTTTAATTAACTTAATTGCCCTAAGTACTGCAGACATCACTCAGTTCTGCAATTCTGTACTCACTGAATTGTTTTTTGCCCTTCAAGTGGTTAAGGATGCTTAGATCCTAAATGTTTTTTTGGGCTGTGCATTATTACCCCTTCCCCTAATCATGAAGCCAAGGAAAATCTAAGAGGCATTGTTTATACAAAATGCAACAACTGTGATTTCTCTTCCAATTAAATGAACAACGATGCAGCAGAGTAGGTGTGAGGCCATGATAACATCGTCTCCCTTCAGTTACTGTTCTGGAAAGAGCGATCTGACACTGTCATTTTGTTCAATTGTATTAGCTCATAGTACATAATAACATCCTAGTCAGTGATAAATATAAAACAAAGCCTATTGCTGAAGTGCATGCAGGGACCTATATGTACTTTGTCCAGTACGTATTACCAGTATCTCTGAAACCAGACTAAAGTATTCCCAAGAAATTCTTAATATATTAACATAATAGATTCCAAGTTTCCTGAAATGAGTCTGTCTTTTCTTTATACACACTTGCCAATGGTCAGAATCAGGAGGTGTTTTCTGAATACATGGTATTCAGCGCAGGGCGGGCCGGCGGTGGGCGGGCAAGCAGCAGACAGCCCTTCCCCCCCCCCCCCGAGCACAGGACGGCATACAGCTCCCCCAGACCCAGTGCCCCCAGACCTCCCCAAGCACAGGGTGGGCAGCTCCAGCGCCTCCAGCCCTCCATACCACAGCATGCTTTCCTGAGAGGAGCAGCCTGCCTGGGCTGGGGCCAAGGGGGAAGGGCAAGCAGGAGGGGGCTTCAGGGAGGAGCATAGGCGGGGCCACGCCGGGCTGTTTGGGGAGGCACAGCCTTCCCCAGCCTATGTGACGCACTGCCCGTGATCCCAAGCCATGAAGCAACCTGTCCTGCAAGGCTTATATGCCCAGTTCCTGGCTTGTGGATTGGTTGGAGCCTAGCACAAGAATTGACTCATCAATGTATGTGACTTAATCAGGCCCTAGTTCAGGGATGACTTATCACCTCACAGTACCAAGCCTATTAACGCTGTGTGTCAACCAGCCCAATATTAACTAATGCAAAAAAAGTAAGTTCTCTATCAACCAAATGAACCCCCAAAACCAAACTCTCTCAGATATCCCCGTAGTAAAAGCCAGAGCAAGCTAAAATAGTGAGAGCAAGCTAAAATAGTTAATATATGTGGTTTATTTCCTTAAAAGTGGTTTAACCTAGCTAAATATATTATGCCTTTTTATCTATTTCCAAAACTCACCATTGCTATTTTTTTCCTTCTATCTAAAAAGCTATTGGCCCTCCTGGTGTTGGTAGTAAATAGTAGTGATTGTATGTTTATTAAGCATTGTTTAAAATCCTTTGCACTTCTCCACAGCCTTTCATTCAAAGATTTCAAAGGGCTTTATCTCACCCAACATGCAGCAAGGTAGGTAAACATTTTGATCCCCATTTTAACGATAAGCAATTGAGATGTTAAGTGACAGCAAGTCAGTGGCAAGGCCAGGAATAGAACTTAGGAATCTTGGCTTCTAATACTTTGTTCTGAACAGCAGTACAATTAATTTTTTATGTAGTTCTCTTATGCTTTCTATAGCTTTCAAGAATGGATTCTGGTTCTGGCCAGTGAGACCAGCCATGCAGGAGCAACACTGGCTCCAATACCTCCTAGGGTGGCTCATCTCTTCACTGGTAAGAGTGGGAAAAGTATACTGAACTGCCTTGTGCAATTTGAAAATCAACTAACTCCAGCCACTTTAGTAATCAGCTGTTGACCCCTGCTAAGGCCAAACAGAACTACAGCATTGCCCTAATCATGCTTCCACATCCATGGGAAGGCAGAGGTGAGGCTGATGAAGGTCAATGATTCATCTTTGTAACATCTAAGGGCTACATTGTACCCTGAACACTGCACTCCAGATCTTGGGAAAATGCATGATCTCTGTTGAGTGTACAGCTGCCAACAGTCTCCGTGCCAAGCAGTTTATGTGAGCTATGTTCCACCATGCTGTAACCAGCATAGCTCTCACTTTCTGCATGGCTAATGTCCTGTGCTGTCAGATCTCTGGGAAGTTTACAAGGAATTTCATTTCAGATGTACAATATCTTTGAATATTATGCATTTAAAATGCAGATCTCTGACTGCTGCAACCCTACTTACAACTAATTTCACTTGTGTTCCTAGAGGCTGTACTGCTATATATTCACTAGAGACACACATTATGTCATTGCTGTTTGTGAAATGAAAGCTAGACACCCGTATGTTGTGTTTTGGTTAGGTCTTTTAAACTGATCTGTGCACTATTCAAACAGTAGGACCCTCCTTCATCTTGTGGTTTCCACCAGTGCACAAAGCCTTTTGTAAAATCCTTTAATTGTCCTATTATTATTATTTTATTGTATTAATTATGTTTATTATGGTAGTGCCTAAGGACCAACCAAGCATGGGGCCCCATTGTACTAGGCACTGTCCAAACACAGAACAGTAGATGATTCCTGCCCCAAAGAGTTTATAATTTAAATAGACAAGATAGACACAGGGCGGGGGGAAAGGTCTAACACACAAGCAGAGTGAACAATGTAATGGCAGCAAATGTCATGTTAGTGCCACAATTTTAGGGGGAGGGTGTTTACTTAGGAGGGGATAAACTAAATAGAAAGAAAATGGAAGGGAGAGAGGACACTGAAGGGAAGGGGAGTGAGGGAGACAGGGCAGGTGGAGAGTGAAGCTGAGGCGAAGAGACTGAGGGAGGAAGAGTTGTGCAAACAGCCAGTCAGCGCAGGGCATAGAAAGTCCAGTCAAAACTGTAGAAAGTTCTCTTTCCAAAGGGAATGAGGGTTGCCATAAACAATGCTCAAAACAACACTGGTCAAAAAAACCTGCCCAAACAGCCCCCCAAAACCGGGGAGGGCGGGGGGAGGATTTGCATCTGTGCATCATAATGCTGGCTGAGATTTGAGCCAAAATATCATTGTGCTGGGTGCGGGACATAGTCAAAGAAAAAAAATGCGGCCATAGAGAAAAGCAGAAAAAAACTCCACGCTACAACAGTATGAAAAATCCCACCCAACTTCAAAACAAAAAAATAAAAACAAATCCCAAGCCTAAAGTCACTTACTTACCGCTAGTTTGGCAACCTGCTCTCTGCAGTTTTCTCTCAAGGCCACATATCGGTGAGGGGTGGAGAGGGAGGCACCAGCTAGTCTTAGTGCCCCAAGTGTAAGGTGATCTTCTCTGTACAATTCTATATCCAGGTAGTATTGGGCAGGGGACAAAGGTGGTCTGAGATTGGCCCCATTTTACCCTTTCCTCCCAGAGCAGCAGTCCCTGCCTTGGCTGCGTCTGTTTACAGATGATGTTTGGAGCTGCAGCATTTAATGTGACCTAGGCAAACTGCTGTGAAAATTTACCAGCCCAGACACCAAATCTATCCCCACCCTTTATTTTTCCTCTGATGGCTGAAGATCATGAAAAATCTTAATATTGTATTTTCCCATCAAGAAAAATAAAAATTACTTGGACATGGTGAATGGAGTCTTGCAACGCTGATTTAGTAGCACATCAGTAAAGCAAAAGGCAAGTCACATATTAGTTGTTGGACTGTAGCAGATTGCATAGATGGACCATGCCACAGGCTAGGATTGGCTAGGAACTGTTGGAGTAACATGTTACAGCAAAAAAAGTGTGTGATATACATTTCCATTTCCTGCTGTGTGAGCCATAGGCCACAAAATGCTAAAGTCTTTACACTCGCTTTTTTGAAGCTATGGTGAGATTAGTTTACCTCAATATGTTTGACTAATGTGTATTTGGCATCCCCTACCAATGTCTGATCCACGGTGCAGAATGGGTACAATGGATGAGGAGATCTCCACATAGAAATTTGCCTTCATTTGGGATTTCCTGTCTGGATTGTAAAAAGGGCAAGATCATAGCTCTCTGAAAAGGATGGTTGTGCAAGAAGTATAAACAGCATCCATACAGCAATAGAAATGAGTTTTATTTTGTAAAAAGTTATAAAATGAATATTGTACAAAAATAAAGTCTGTAGAGAACTTTGGTTGATTAACACTAATAACTGAGACATAAATTGTAGGTGAAGTAAAAACCTCCAGAGAATCATACTCCTGTTCTTGATAAGTTTTTAAAAAAATCACAAACTTTACCCTTTGTAGTTTGAACATAGTGACCTGCTATAATTAAAGCCTATTTAGGCTGTTGCTTGAGGCAAGCTGTCAACCATCAATGAAGTACCATAGCAAGTGATAAAGTACTTATCATTTCTGTGCTCAAAGCTAGCCTAAACTAACCACTGTGTTGCTGAGTTTTGACTCATCACACAGCCATCACAAGTAATGCAGATGATGCTTTGACTGCTGTACGTTGCCCAACACAGTGGTTAATCCCCTGACCCAGCACAGCACTTAAACACGTGCTTAATGACTTCCATGGGACTATTCATGATCTTGAGTGCTTTGCTGGAGTCGGGCCTTAGACTCTAATCCTGCAATTGATTGCATGTGGTGGATTGTCATGCATTCAGAGCCCATGAAGATGACTGTGCTCACTTATCATCAATTGTAGGATTGGGACCTTAGTGAAGAAACTTGATTTAGGGCAAAATTCTCCTTTAAGCCACACGATGGTGGATCTTTGTGTGTTTTTCCTTTCTTTCTCCCCCCCCCCCCAACCATGGGACCTTCCCCACTGGTATCAGTGCAGGTTCCATGCACTTAAAAGGAACAGAATAAGTATGGAGCCATTACATGGATTGGATAAATTATGATCCTAACTGTTGTTGTTGTTGTTCAGTAGATTCTTGGTTGGATATTGTTTTTGTGGGAGTCAAGTCTTCACTTCAGTTGTCTATTATGTCTAATATAAACACATTTCTGCTAATCTTTAATAAATAAACCTCCAGCTTCATAACTTGTGCTAATCCCTTTGATACATAACCTCCTTCACCTTAAAGCAGTATCTTAGATGAAAACTTAAAATGATTTTTACTATGCCAGTTGAATCCTGTAATGTTTCAGCAAATTATACAAAACACTTTGGTTATTTAACAAAATAGTTTGTTTACCTTCAGTCTACATTAAATCCAGGACTAACTACAAAAAGGGATTTAACCTTTTCTATATGGAAATATGGAAAGAAAAAACAAATATAACATGAAATTAAAATGACAAAAGTGTGATTAATCTTCATTTGTCAATCATACTTGTGAGGTCAGTTGGCAGAAGAAGTGTTTGTGAGAAAAACTGCATCAACATTATAATATTAATATAATTACTTTTTCTAACAAATTGATAATAATGGCCCCCATTCTGCAACCTGCACTCATGTGGAGTGTCACTAACTCATACGGGTAGTAATGGAGTTGCTCACATAAATGTTATTCAACATGAATATGGGTTGCAGACTTTGTCCCTCTATTTTGAGATTTTAAACAGGGTTTTGTTAAAAAAGGTAAAGTAAGTGATTTTTTGCTTTCAAGTTAACTGTTAATACTTTTAAAAGCATGGCCCCTTGTTCCCAGCTTAACTGTCTTTGTATCTTGCGAGCACATTCCACTTTGGCACCTTTGAAAAAAACTTTAATAAATAAGGAACGGAAACTCATTAGTGAACTGTAATAAATAACAATAACTTAAATCTCAATAAATATCTTCTGTATATTTATGTCTTTGAATGGATGCATTGCATCAAGTAGTCTGTTCACTCACAATGACCAAATATTAAAGGAGTTATGTAAGTGACATTAGTCCTTTGTAAACCAAAAGAAACACATTTTGCATTTGTGTAGGCCAGGCTCATTGTTTCTATTATTCTACTAGGAGTGAGTGCTTAAAAACACAACTTGTTTTCAGAGGTAATAGAAGAATTAAATCTGATACTTAACTGTTTTGAAGAAATGTGAAATGGAAATAGCCTAAATCAAACAGTAAGTGGAACTGTTTTGTTTTGTGTTGATTTTCCCCGGATGAACTTTAGCTGATTAATTTTGACACTTGCCTGATTTAACCTTGCACATATACTATGTAATAAAAAAGTTATCTCCAGTGTTTTGGAATAATCTTTTAACAGGCAATATTAGGGTGTATATTGGAGTGAAGCTAATACCACTTAAGCTTACCATTATTAATGCTACCCCAGTTTTTATAACTAAACTTAATAAAAAATAAGAACAAGGCATGATATTTAATAGGTTGTGTTTTTAAGCACATTCCTAGCTGATTCAACTCTCATTGATAGTGGACCATATCAAATGAAATAGTGATAGCAACCTCCACCCATCCATTCTGAAACTCCACCCTGAGCTTTGATGCCTTTTATTTGCTTTCCTGTAGAAATTAAAAGTTCCAACTTTTCTATCCTGTCCAGTTCTCTGTGCTGGATCTTGTCCTACCAGGCTCCCATGACATCTGTTTTCCTGCATTCTTGGTCCTCTTTCTCAGTTCTGAACAGACGTTTCCTTGGGAACCTTGGTCCTGTTCTTTGCATTGTAGTAGGAATGCAATATTGTATTAATCTAAAAAAAAAATCAGACACATCCACATCTTTTAGCGGAATGTTTTTTCAATATATGGTAAACCAAGTTATCGTCCAAAAATGAAAGGTCATCATCATAGGCAATGGGTCTGCAGCAAGCTTGCCTCACTTTATCATTGACCAGCTTTTTCTTTCTGGTTAAATTTTTTAAAATTTTGTCATATGTGGTCTCGGCTGCATCACAAGATCCACTGCAGTACCGGAAAATCAGCTCTTCTTTGGTTTCATATCCCAAATCCAAGTCAGTCACATTTAAATGTATTTCTGTTAAGACACAACCTCGATTTTTGCCCTTTTGACCTCGCCGTCCCTTTTTACTGGAATTCTCTGTATTAACAGCTGCATTTTGCCGACTTCTCTCCCGCTTAGAAAAAATTGGAGTTTGTTTATCTGGTGACCTTCTGAGTCTTTTTATAGTGGCTTGAATAAAGTCCACTACATTGTCAAACTGATCTGGATAATCCTCTGGCATGTTAGCTATTTGAAAAAGAAAGAGAGAACAGGTTTTGTTAGAAGTGGATGGCCATTTTTATTTGTCCTAGATGTTTTAATCAAAGTCCACTAGAACTTGACCAATATTATAATTCAACAAAATGTCAGTCCTATGGAAGCTATTCTATCAATTGTGTATTTCAAAAAGTATACATAGCAGGTCCAAAAACTGGGAAAGAAAAATGTGACAAGGTATAAATGTTAGATAAGCAGACCTACTGTAGAAGGGTCACATAGACCTTCCTAGTCTACTGTAGATAAGGGCTCCCTCTGATTATCATTCTGATTAGAAAGACTAACAGTGGGTAAAGGATATGCTCCTGGAATGATGGCAATGGTAGAAAGGAGCTGTCTGTAGCTAACTGACTGGTCAAGTTGAGTTATTGCCCCTGGCTAAATGCTTGCTTTTTGATGCAGCTGAGGATATTATTAGAGCTGGTTGAAAATTTTCACGTGGAAAAGTTTCTGTCAGAGAATAATTTGCCAAAATTGAAACATTTCACAGGAATGTATCAATTTTGTTAAAATTTTCATGGGAAATTATTGAAACATTTAATTTTGACTTTTATGTTCTGATATGCTATAATACACCTCTACCTCGATATAACGCTGTCCTCGGGAGCCAAAAAATCTTACCGCATTATAGGTGAAACCTTCAATGAACTTGCCCCCCCCGAGCACTGCTTTACCGCGTTATATCCGAATTCGCGTTCTATCGGGTCGCGGTGTACAATATATCAAAATGAAACATTTTGATAGGCTGAAACTAAATATTTTAGGAATATTTTATTTCATGAAAAATTCTGAGATTTCAACTTTTCATATCAATTGGAAACAAAACCAATTTTGAAATTCTGGCATTTCCAGTGGGATAGAAATTCTGACTTTCAACAAGCTCAAGTTATTATGCTGTAAGCTTAACTAAGTCTACATCTACACTGCACCCAGGATCAATGCTCTGAGATCGATCCATTGGCAGTCGATTTAGTGGGTTTAGTGAAGACCCGCCAAATTGACAGCAGATCGCTCTCCAGTCGACCCCCATACTCTACCCCCGATGAGAAGAGTAAGGTAAGTCGACGGGAGAGTTTCTCCCGTTCACTCCCCGCAGTAACTCGACCTAAGGTACGTCGACTCCAGCTACATTATTCACAAAGCTGGAGTTGCATAGCATAGGTAGACATAGCCTAAGTGAAAGGGTGACTGGAGCCATTGTATGGGCATCATTTTATTATTTAATCTAAACACATAAATATAGCAAAGGAGTGAGAACTTTCTTGCCTCATGCACAGTGCCAGAACTTTAGTCATTGAAGGCATGCATCCTTTGCAAGGATCAGAGGGAAGATATCTGTGGATTCGCCCCTCAACAGCTGGATGACATGCAGGATGATAGGGGATTGTGTTGACAAAATCTTCACAGATGCCAGTGCAGACTGCCACCTGTGAAGTTGCTTTCAGAGGGTCAGATCCTTAAACACACACACAGCTGTACACTTCCTTCTCCAACACAGAACCACACTGTCACCACCAAGATGGTCCAGTGCTTAGATGGGATCAGCTCATGGATGAAGACCAGCTGGTTGAAGCTAAAGCTGAGCATGACAGAGGTGTTGCTGGTGGGCAGAGAAAAGCATTTTGAAGAGTTTGCAGCCACAGTGCAGTCTCCTTTGGTTGAAGATACACACCCACAATTGGTCAATTCCATCCATAGTTTAAGTATCTGTGAGTAATGCTTTCTACTGTCTCTGGTTGGCTAGGAGATTCCATCCTGTCCTGGCGAATAATGCCTTGGCCTCAGTTATTCACACTTTATTCATCTCTTGGCTGGACTACAGCAATGCAATACATCTGGGCACAAAGACTTCAGCACTTAGGAAACTCCAACTAGTACAGAACGCTGCAGTACATCTCTTCCTCAACACAGGCTACCACAAACACACCAGACCTATCCTCCACTCTCCACACTGGCTCCCTACAGAATACTGAATCAAGTTCACGTTCTCAGTCCTTATCTTCAAGGTACTCATTGACCTGGGCCCCAGGATATCTAACAGACTGCCTAAAGCACCCAGATGAAGACCGTAGTTGACAACTTCACTCCTGTGGCACAATGGAACTCACTACAATAAAGTAAAGCTCATCTGTGCAGGAGACAGAGCTGTCTCTGGGGCCAGTCCAAGTCTGTGGAATGAACTCCTCCAGGAACTGACGACCATCCAAATCTTACCACCTTTCTCTGTAAGTGCAAGGTGCATTTCTTTGACTTGCCTTTTCTAACAGAAATACTTAGCAACATGGATATTTATATATTTTTAAAACCCCCTACCAAACAAGAATTCCACTGCATACACTTCTCCCCCTGGAGAGAGGATGAGAGAACAAACATGTGACAGATGTTAGGATGAAATTCAATAAGGACAAATGCAAAGTATTCCACTTAGGAAGGAAAGGGATCTGGGGGTCATAGTGGACTACAAGCTAGATATGAGTCAACAATGTAACCCTGTTGCAAAAAAAGTGAACATCATTCTGGGATGTATTAGCAGAAGTGTTGTAAGCAAGACATGAGAAGTAATTCTTCCGCTCTACTCTGCACTGATTAGGCCTCAACTGGAGTATTGTGTCCAGTTCTGGGCACCACATTTCAGGAAAGGTGTGGACAAATTGGAGAAAGTCCAGAGAAGAGCAAAAAAAATATTAAAAGTCTAGAAAACATGACCTATGAGGGAAGATTGAAAAAATTGGGTTTGTTTAGTCTGGAAAAGAGAAGACAGAGGGACATAACAGTTTTCAAGTACATAAAAAGTTGTTACAAGGAGGAGGGAGAAAAATTGTTCTTCTTAACCGGTGAGGATAGAACAAGAAGCAATGGGCTTAAATTGCAGCAAGGGAGGTTTAGGTTAGACATCAGGAAAAACTTCCTAACTGTCAGGGTGGTTAAGCACTGGAATAAATTGCCTAGGGAGGTTGTGGAATCTCCATCATTGGAGATTTTTAAGAGCAGGTTAGACAAACACCTGTCAGGGATGGTCTAGATAATACTTAGTCCTGCCATGAGTGCACGCAACTGGACTAGATGACCTCTTAAGCTCTCTTCCAGTCCTATGATTCTGTTAGTTATGTTGCTTAATGCACTACTGGAAGGTGCGCAGATATTATGGTGGTGAACGAGGTACAAGAATTTATATAGACTAGAACATACATACACAGAGCCTGAGTAAAAGGGCTATGCATGGGGGAAATATGTGGGCATTTATGCTCTTAAAAATCCTCCTTCCAAGCTCAAAGTATGGTGTAGGGCTTCTGTGTATCTGGTTTGCAGTCTCACCTACAGTCCATATGCAGGAGAAAGGACCATCCAATTCAACAGGCCCCTGTATGTGAGGCTTGTGGTAACAAGATCAGCAGTGTTGCGAACCCTGCAAGTTCAAAAATGATGACTCCAAAAATCATGAAACTTACTTAAAAATCATGAGATTTATTTTATTTTTACATCACATTTCTGAGGCCTGTTTTCTGATTTTTGAACTTATGGTGGGAATCACTTGTGTGTATGCATGTGCACAGCATGTACATTTTATTGAACTTACTCTGAAACACAAAAATAAACACAAGGGTGGGGGTGGTGTTGAACATATCCTGCTTCCCTTTACTGCTGACTGCTGCAGGGCCTCATGCCACCTCTCCCTGGGCAGGCTCCCCTAAACCCTCCCTGATCCTGCCCTGGGAACTTTCGGTAGCTCTTTACCCTGGACACTATCCCCTTCTCTCCACTTAGGTACTGCCCCTGACCAGCTCCCTCCCACTCAGCTCCTTCCATCCAATGGGTTCAATCCCCTGCCTGCTCTGTCCCTCCTCTGGACATGTGCCTGCCCAGCTGCCCCCACCCTCACCACCGTCCCAGGACAACGTCCCTTCCTCTCTCCTACCCCCATATAAGGAGCCCAATGCAGTGGATGGACTGCAGCGTGCAGCATTTCGTAGGGGAGTGAAAGGGGCAGGGAGCAGGTGCTGCCCCCAAGCACTCTCCCTGCAGCTTCTCCTGCCCACATGGGCTACTGCTTCTCAGCTCTGCCCAGGTAGAGCAGCCTCTGTTGGAGGCAGCTGGAACTGCAGTCCAACTCATACAGCTAGGGCTGCCAACAGCAGTATTAGGGGGTGACGCTAAAGCTGCAGCATCAGTCCTGAGTTGGATCCCCAAAAATCATAAGCGTTGGGTTCATTTTATTTGCCTTTTGTTTTTTGAGACTTTGAGGTACACTCAGGCAATGCTTTTACCACAACCATTAGGGTAAGTTTTAGAAATGTACTTATTTTTTTTTAAATGAAACCTGAGATTTTCATCTAATCACTTGTCTTCAGGAGCTGGGACTTTAACATATACATCAGATACCATGAGACTCATGATAAAGTTGTAAGAGTTGGCAACACTGATAGCCACACATTCCCTCAGCCAAACAACAACGGCCCCACTCATTTTCCTATATAGAGAGCCACCAAAGAGTTCTGCTCCATGGCTCTCAGAGGATCATCATGTTCTCTGGGCAAGTTCTCCACTACATTCCCCAAGTCTGCATTTCCAGTTGATTTGAGGCATCAAGTGCCAGAGAGGATTGTATTTGGCGCTGAGCCCCTTTTAAGAAACAATTTATACTGCATTCAAGAAGAATGTATAAATAAAGTAGGTCCAAATGTCATTTTGAAACAGCAGACTCCAACACGGCCATGTTCCAAAGAAGACAGAAACTAAATTGCCCCATCTGTCTTTAATGGGAAACTATCAGAGCAAATCTGGCACAAAATTTAGGTTTTATAAAGCTAATCTTTTAATTCCACTGTCAACAGATTTTTTTGAAAAAATTCCCCTGCAGTGGTGATAACCCAGACAAGAGTATTAGTACAAGAAACCCTCAAAGCAAAAGTGACCAGAAATTGATTTCATTGGGAGAAGCTGGATCTTCAGCACTTTTGAAAATCTGATCA